TCAGCGCCGGTGCTTGAAACCAGCGACCTGGGTTTTCGTGGTGGCAGTGAAGGTTGTGGCCGCATTGACGGGAACGTGCAGCCCTGCCGGGTTTAGTGCCCGCGCCGCGCTGCTGAGGGTGACGTCAGCGCTTGTGTCGAGACGAAGCGTGGGAGCACAGGGGGCAGTAAATAGGCTCCAAACGCTTTTCTTCTAGCTGCACGTTTTCAGCGCTCGGCATTGACTCTTCATCGCTTGTCTGTTTTCTGATCCTTCTTCTGAATCTGCCCTCTTCCATTTTATTTTTAAAAATGTTTTTGTCTGGCATCTCTCCGTGCTGGGTCGCGGTGGCGCTGCCTTTGGTCCCCTTTGAATAGCGAAGCGGCTCCTTTATTCTGGAGGCTTGGCCTGGAGGCTCAGCATCGCGGCAAATCAGCCACGGGTTTGGCAGGGCTGTAATTAAATAGTGAAGGGCCTGTCACAGGACAGGTCGCCCCAGCTATTTTAGGGATATTCCAGTGTCCGGGGCTATAGCTGCCTTTGGTCCCCTTTGAATAGCGAAGCGGCTCCTTTATTCTGGAGGCTTGGCCTGGAGGCTCAGCATCGCGGCAAATCAGCCACGGGTTTGGCAGGGCTGTAATTAAATAGTGAAGGGCCTGTCACAGGACAGGTCGCCCCAGCTATTTTAGGGATATTCCAGTGTCCGGGTCTATAATAGATGACTCAGTGCAGCCGAGGGGATATTGGCTTGTACCTACGTACTCTGATCATGGCGTAGATGAATGAGTCCTGCTGGCCTGATTGCTGAAGTCATTTTATTGTTAGAATAAGGGGGGCTGAATCCTTGAAACATTGTGGTGAGGGAACAGCTTCATGGTGGGAGGCATGCAAGGCTGCAAGTGCAGCAGGCAAAACGCTGCCTGTTCCCCAGAAGTGACGATGGGTTCCATCAGGGGATGCCATCCAGGCCATGGTGGGACCGTGAGGTTTCCAGTGCTGTGGAAACTCGTCTAATCCACTCTTTCTTTCCCTCCAGTACATCGGGAGCCTGGATGTGCCACGGCCAAACAGCCGGGTGGAGATCGTGACGGCCATGCGGCGGATCAGGGTGAGTGTGGCGAGGACGCTCCGTCCCATTCTGCGTCGTGGTGGCAGGGGCACCACTCCTCCGTCTCCGCTTACAGCCTTCTCTGGCAAAAGTCTTGTCCTCCAGGTTATTCATAACTCTGTGTTTTTCACCGTCCCTCTCTCTACTGAGATGTCCATGTAACCTGGGCACGATGCCCACAAGCTCCGTGTGCCCCACCGTCACGTTTGGAGCGTCCCCAGCGCTGGCTGTCCCCCGCGATACCTGGGCATCCTATGTGCCGTGGCTGGGGTTGGCTGCAGGGCCACCTCCATGCTCATGGTGCTGCGTCCTGTGCGGGAGCGTGTGCTGCGGAGGTGGACGTGGGGTGGACAGTGCGTGCAGGACGTGGGGCTGCCGGTGCTGGGTGGAAACCGTAGCGTGTCCACGATTCGTAGGATTTCCTCGTGTCTCAGTCCCAGTTCAAAGGCCATAACAGACTACCTGTGGAAGAAGTACATCTGTTTTCCACTGTTTGTGAAAGCGCTTCAGCCATGTGAAAATTTGGACGCTGCCTGGATATGCCGGCAGGTTAGTGCCCGGTAAGTGGCAACGTGCAGGTTAAAGTGCTGAGTAACGGGCCCTGGGGCCAGCTGACAGCGAGCGTGTTGAACAGCGAGTAGTTCAGGGGATGTCAGCTGGAAGTGAAGTCATCTGGCTTCCCAAAATACCTATAGGCAGGATACAGGGTGCTCTCGCCATAGAACGCTTGGCCGATAGCCAGCAGAGGAGCTTTTCCTCTGCGCCCTGGCCTCTCGCCGTCATGGCTGGAAGGCGTTCAAGGACGGGCTGGGAGGTGAGCAAACCACCCACCCGGGGAGCTTGCTGCCCCCAGGCTTAAACCAGCAGCAGCTGGACTGCTCTTCAAGGCACAAGACGGACCTTTGGGCAGTGGTTGGTCCTTGGGCCAATGTACGTGGTGGTGTGGCACAGGCGCAGGTAGTTTGGTTGGCTCTGTGGGTCACAGCAAGGGGTCTGCCGTGTCTTCCAGCAATGGCTCTCTCCTGGAAATAACTGGAAGGATTGCTTCTGCACTGATGGTGCTCTCAGGGACGTTGAGTAATGGATGAGTTGTCTTTCTGGTGGCCTCGTGGGACCCCGCAAGCTCTGGAGCTGCTTGTGTGGCTGAGCAACCCTGCCAGGCTCCGCTGTCGCCCTGCTCCTCTCAGCCCCTCCTGAGGACTCCTGCTGTAATTTCATTTTCTTTTTCCTCATCGCCAGAGGAGGAGAGGAGCATCGTGTCCCAAGGAGAGAAGTATCGTATCCCAAGGACACAGACAGCAATGCTTTTCCGTTTCAAACTTTCAGCGTGTAAATAGTTTGTGGGCTTGTCTCAGCAGCTTTCCTACCCACTGCCCTGTCCTCTGGGTGGTGGTTAAGGTTGTGGCCAGTGCGCAGGCTGGGAAGTCCTATATGGCATTAGGTTTGCTCACCTCGGTTCCAGACAAGGTTTGGGACAGAACCGGCATGAGGCCGTCAAGAGCTCTCATAAACAGCTGGTTCCTCTGCTGCTTTTTGGGATAAGACTTTTGAAAGAATGCAGCTCCGGCCCCAAAATCACGTTATTCCTTATCATTGTGGGAGGACTGGCGCAACTTTGAGGGCTTAAATAAACCCTGCGGTCTATTTATTTTATTGACCAGTATAAATAAGCATAGTCTAGACAACTCGTAGATAAAGCTCTGAATGGCAGAAAGAGCACAAATTAGGGTAAAACAATGATTTCTCATGATGAATTGTGTGTTTGAAACCTGTGCTCAAGTTTCCTCGATCTATGTGAGACAGGAGAGGTGCAAGTCATTGAAAGGCCGTGAGTTTGCAGATCAGGTCTGCCGAGAGGCTTTTAATGCCTGTTCATTTCTCACAGGGTGCTGTTTGGGAAGAGGGTGCCAGGACGGTTTGTCTGACGGGAGTTTACTTCTAAAGTCCTTCCCTGGTTTCTCGCACTGGCCTTGCACCCAGCAGCATTATCACGGCGTTGCAAGGGCATTCGCTGCCTGGGCTGGGCACCGCGGGCTGTTTCCAGTTTGGCTGGAGGTCAAGGAATGTGTCTGCTCCTTAAAGCAGAAGGGTGGTTGTGTTCTTTAAGCAGTAAATTAATCCCGAAATATTGGCGTGGGGAAACCAGAGGAAGAAGCAGCTTATTTAGGCACAGAATGCAAGCAACGGGGGATGTGCAAGCGCAAGCTGCAGCGGTTCTGCATGTGGTGTGTGGAGCGCCTGCTGGCCCCGAGGTTTGTATGGTTTGTACTGCAGTCCCTGCAGTCCCCTGGTTTAGGGGAAGGTGCTGTGTCCCAGTTTGTTCCGATTACTCGCTGCTGGTGATGGAGGGGGGACCCTCTCCCGTCACCCCTGCCGCTGCAGCTCCCCTTTCTCAGTGCTGCCTTTGTGCTAACTGCTCGCTGGCCTTGCTCTTTACTAAATGATAAAAAAGCCATGATCCTGCAAAGAAGTGAGGAGGCCACGGGCCTGGCTGATCCTGGCTTCCTGTTTAGATGGAGACCTGACCCTTTGGGGGGCAAGGAGGAGGACACGGCATAGCCGGCATTGCTGGGCTTCCTGCTCTGGCCCTGGTGCCGCTCTCCTGCAATCAAAGCAGAGCAATGGGCCGTGGGCAGAACGGCTCTGCCGGAGCAAGATCTATTTATTAAGCCCAAATTTGGTCCCTTTTGTGGATCGGGCTTGAGAGGGACGTTTTGCCAGGAGTGGGGTTGCAGGGCGGGGACACAATCCCCGTCCTCCCGCCGCTGAAGGGCTGGCAGCAGCGTGGCCACCCGCACGGTGCTCGCCGGAGGGAGGGTTTCTGCCCAGAAGCAGGAGGATGTTGGAGAATTCCCGGGATTCTGGCAGCTCGGGGGCGAGGGGGGAAGGGGAGGTGCTCGGCAGGCTGCATCTGCCTTCCTGCTCTTCCTGCCTGCTCCGGCTGGGCTTGCTGCGGGCGCAGCCCTGTCTCGCTCTGCGCCTTGGTGCAAATCCCTGGCCCTGAAGGGACGCGGTGGACCGGGACATTAGCCATGCCAAGGATGCACTTGGACAACGGTTTTGTGAACCTTCACTGCAGCTTTCTTCCAGAGCCTGCGTCTTCTGGCTCTCTCCTGCAGGGTGTTGATGGCCACATCAATAATAATAAATACAATAGGCCCGGGCTTGTTTTCCTGGCAGGCAGCTGGGCTTGTGTTCGTACAACTGAACAGCTTCTCCTCCTCATCCCAAAACAGGGTGACCCAGTCTATGTTGCTTCGTGCCCTAAACTGCTGGGGTGGGTTTACCTTCAAAGTGCTCCTTGGTTCCTCTGGATGCAAGGTGGAAGAAGCAGAGCTGTAAGTCCAGAGAGTTACCTGTGGGCACCTGAACCTCAAAGCTCCCAAACTCAACAGTAATTAAATGGTCGTTAATGCTACAGCCACCCTGTCCTGTTGGTGTGAGCCCAGAGGACCTTCCTTCTCCAGGGATTCCTGGAGGCCACAGTGCTCTTCTGCTCTGCGCTGGTCGCAGGCAAGGCATGAGAAATTCAGATGGGAGCTCACAAGAGTGGTCTGGGATGGGTCACACGTCCGTCAGCTGCCGAAGAAGTGTTAGTGCTGGAGAGCAAAAGCCCAACTGACACGTCCTCCCAACCATGAGGACTAGGAGTTGTTGAAGGTTTCGGTTTAAAGTGCCTGAGCTAGGTGCAAGACATCCTTTCTTTTCTTTCTTTTCTTTTTTTTTTTTTTATGCTGGCTGAGCACACGGGGCCCTAAATGACAAGGATAACTGTATATTTTTGTTATGTTTTCATGGTGTAAATATTTGCAAGTGCTTACCTCTCTGTGCTCCTGGCATCTCTCCAGCACAACCAGTGCTACCTGGCTGGGGTTTGGTGTGGTCATTCTAGAGAATATGGAGTCATCCTTTTTTCGCTACTTGGAGTGCTGTGTGCGGCTTTAATCCAGGTTTTCTTTGGTGCCAGAAAGGATGAAATCCTATATAGGCGCTTAAAAGCTGCTTCTGTGGAAGCCTTCCGCAACCCTGTTTCTGGGAGGTGTCCAGCTGAGTTTTGCAGGCTCAAAACAAGGCAGCATTTCAGGCACTTGGAAATCTAGCTCCTCTACACCTCCTACTCTGTCAGGTACATCTGATTTTGTGGGACTTCTGCTGCTTTGCATAGCTGAGCTCTATTTTAGCAAATTGGCAAAAAAATGCTGAATTTCAACAAGCTTGTTTAAAGCAGGATTTTGCATCCTCTGCAAGCCACATGCCCGGTTGGACCGGTGTGAAAATTCATGTGTTTGGCCAGTTATTTGTGTAGAGCACCTGGTGCAATTTCGAGCTCATTCAATTAAAGTATTTCTGAGATACCCCTGTTCCTGCCATGGTGAGTTTTTAAAAGCATTAGGTCATTTATAATGATGTCATTGGGTTTTTGGTTTTTAGGTTTTTTTCCCCTTTCCTCATGCAAGAAGCAGCACAGCCGCGGCTGTCCCTGCTGTGAAGCGGAGCAGGGTTTGAAAGCGAGCTGGCCCTGCGCGCGTGAGGACAGGCATGGCGAGCAGCGGGCTGGCCGGGAGACGCTCGGGCTTTGGCCCTGGAGAGCGCAGCCTGCTCTGCGCCGAGTCACGGCACTCGGTGCGAGGTGAATTATCAGTGAGCTAGTGACCTGATGTGATTATCGGAGATGAACAAGATTACGGTGTATTAGATCTGGGAGGAACCGAAGGGATATCTGCAACGATTTCAATTGCTCTTTCAGTGCTCTGACAGTCGCAGTAAAAAGGGTGAAGGCTTCTGGGCAGGTTCATTGTATCTCTCCCGGCACCACCAGTGCCCCTTAGCTTCATAATAAAATAATGGCTAGACCAGTACGGCTACCAAATGCCGCCTGCTCGATTGCATGGATTAGGTTAGGATCTCATCCTGTGGTTAGTGTTTAATCAATAAACTGGTTAAATTAGTACCCACGTTCAGCGGAGCAGCCTTTTGACCAAGACTGCCCATAGGGGAGG